CTCACATTGACCTCATTTTGAATGCCTTCGGTGGAAACTAGTTCGCAATTTTTGTTTATACCGAAAATCAAAGCCATTTGACGTTGTGATGAGGACTTATCGCCAACGCTGCTGCACCTTGGCGAAATTAGGAGACAGGAGAGACGATAAGACTTGCTTAGTGGCTTTTCATGACTTTAAAATCTCTTCATTATCAAGCAAGGTGAATGGGATGCTTCAAAGGGGTTGACCTCTGCACATCAATCCAACCTATTCAAAAAAAAAACGAAGAATCAAGTCGGAACAATCCCATCCTGTTTACAGCCCTCCTCCTATTGTATTTTGTAAGGACATGACATAAATGAACCCCTTTGCCTTCCTTCATAAGGCCTCAGGATTTAATCCGTGTGGTTGGGATACAGAAGGAATTGGAGCTACTACTATGGGTTGGAGGAGAGACCACCTTGTAAAGGTGGAATGGGGAAGGCTCCGAGTGACTACTCTATCAGAGACAATGTGCAAAATAGTAAATAAGTAATTTATTGCCCTTGCCCCATTGCACTATGACTTAATTTCCTCGGAAATGTCTAGGTTCAAACCACTGCCTTGCGATCCCAATAGTACGCCCTCTCAGACCCTCAATTAACTTGGGGCAGGTCTCTGAACTCACTTCCTCTACTGGTATAAAATGTTGTTCCTTTAGATGGATTGTCACTTATATACAAACGGAGCCAGTGTTTACGACTGCCCACTCCTTTTCCAGACTCCCTCTAAGACTGTTCACGCAACAATAAATTGCTGCAGTAACGCGCCGAGATGGGCAATAACCGTGCAGGTGCCTCATACGACTGCCATCTGTGCGTTTTTTATGTCTCACACCAAGCTCCTCATCATCATGCCCCCCTTAAGGGCTGTAATATCGCAAGGCTAATCCATTCCCTGCCTCCGGAAGGTCAGTCTCTCACCTAGCCTAACAACACTAATGCGACAACCGCCTCATTCCCTCGCCCGCGAGTCCTACACGCTGCCACCAATCGAAGCTGGCTTGACATGTTCGTTTCTGTGCCCTAATGGGTCGGACACCGCTACGCAGGCATGGGCGTAAGAAATGCTACTACTAAAGCAAACACAGTCCTAGTAAATATCACTCCTTTGAGAGACAACAATTTACTCTGTCATGCTCCACCAAAACAATGACCCTACGCGCATCAATCGGAAGATTTGCAACTATTATAAGTCATCCCGGTCGGTTCAGTTTTTACATTACCCGTAATTGCAACTGGATAATGATTTAAGGTCAAAGTAGACACGAAATCCCACCATTTCTCACTTCGAAGATAGGCAACATCCGACTCCCACCTTCCATTGGAAACCTTCGGTTGAGTATAGTTTTGAACTCCGACAGTCCAGGTGCCAAAGGAAGTCTACAACCCAAACCATCCCCACAATTCGGTTCGACTGACTACGCTTAAAATTACGAGTTCATTAACTCTATCCCTCAGACCTCACTAAGTGCTCTCCTCCCTTTAATTGGATGGTGACTTCAAAATTATTTTGCCCGCGCATGGCTTTTCACCAATGAGAATTAGGATGCCTGTAGCTGTGTGCGTCAAGCTGTGCCTGTCCGTACCACTCACTGCTGTATCCCATGCTTAGGTGTTGACCAATGAGTGAGACGACAAGTCCCAAGGGCAGCCAATAATGCAGCGACCTGGTGGCCTGGCCTTATGGGACACGCCGGTTTGGCTGGCGTTCACATCCGCCCATCGCTTAGCTCTTTCTCCTTGCCGTCACGTCTGTTCACCGGCGATTTCGTGTGCGCTGGGATTTTGAACTGTTTTCTACTTTCTCAAATGGGTTGTTTATTGTCAAAGGAAGATCGGGAGGCCCTAGAACAAAGCCGGAACATCGATAAGAAACTCAAGGAGGATGGCATACAAGCTGCTAAGGATGTTAAATTGCTTCTTTTGGGTGCGTTCTACAATCCTGGGGCGTTATTTGGTGCACAAATCAAACTGGGCTTTGAGGCGATTCGTTGGAAGTATCCCACGAAATTCTTTGTTTCGCTCAACTTTTAGCTTAGATTGCACTCTTCATCTGTCTTTCCCAGTGGGTGCAATGCGTCTATCCTGTCATTCTATGTACTTTTTCTACAAAAACCGATAGCTTATTCGCATTTCTTGCCACTTTTTAAGTGTTAACTACTGATTCGCTATCTTACATGTTAGTTTGCCCTCTACGGACATTCCATCCTTTCGATTTGTTTGTGTTCTCAGCAGTGAATCAAGGCTTTAGCAAAGTAGTCGAATTAGTGCTGTTTGTAGTAGTGGCACCGTCTGGGTTCTGTCTAGACGTCAGTCGTATGCGACTGGAAGGATTTAGTAGGTTACCTAATGTAGTAACTTTTCGCTTTTCACCTCTATGGTCATTGCGCCGCAATTGGACACAGTACGGCAACGCTCCACCTCCTTACGCACGCCAATGTGCATAAGGTTCTACTAGCCCCTTGATGTCTGTCTTTCCATTTCCCGAATGGTTTAACGGTGATGTGTCCTTGAGTTGAAATTAACATTTTAAAGTGTCAGTTCTTTAATATGGTGCTCAGCTACGACGCCCCATGAGTTAGTACTCGCTCTGCTTTTCAGGTGCTGGTGAGTCGGGAAAAAGCACAATTGTTAAGCAAATGAGGTGAGAGATACTTGGATGTTTTTTCTTTTATAACTAATGGTTCCTTAATTTTCGCTTTTGTACTTATCTAGGATTATTCACGAGGGTGGCTTCACACAAGAAGACAACAAACAATTTAAACCTGTGGTGTACAGCAATACTATCCAGTCGATTGCCGCCATTCTGCGCGCTATGAACACTCTGGGTATTCCCTACGGCGATTCCAGGCAGTGTGTAAGCTTTCTTTTTTCACTGTCATAGTCACTGGACTGCTGTTATCCGAGTTCTGCGATCTCATTCGATTGTTCCTGGGCGTGGCAGATTCCTCTTATCAGTGGTGGTGGAAGCACCAACATTATTGTCGGCCACTCTCGAGGCACTGAGATGGTAGTTGCTATGTCATCGTCGACTCGTTTAGATTCACTTCGTACGGTATTATCGCCGCCATCGGCTTTTATTGCTTCCTGACAAGTGTCCTCGGCTCTCCGCCATTAGTTTTTACAACACCACCAGCCCTCCGCTCATTCTCTCATCCTCATAACCACTACTGTTTACGTGGCCTCCTTGTCGTTTGCCTTGTGCATAACGAAGCACATAAATATTAAAATATTTATGTACTTCGGGGTTCATGAGTGGCTGAAGGTTTAGAGGTACTGTCGATGCTCGTTACCACCCCTCGGTTTGAATCGTTATTCCATCTTGCTGAGTTTGATACCCATCCGCTGTTTAGCTACATCGCAGCTCAAAACTCGAGGACGACGTCAGAAGAAATTTTTCGTACAGGTAGACGCTCACCCCCCGATGTGGTGGCCGTTGTATTGCTATATATGAAGTATGCATCTCTCTGAAACGCAATTTATGTTCTGGCTACAGTTGAATCAACGGGAGTTCATCCACTGGCCAGCACATCCAGCTGGGAGAGGCTCATAACCCCCTGAATCACTTAAAGCGGTGTGTTTTACTAACTCTCCACACTATCTAACAAATCTTGGAATCGTGAGCGGTAGATGGTAAATCAGTTATCTGATTTTCCTCTCAAGGCATTTGGATCAGTGAGGTACTTCACGTTTAGTAGTTGTAGACGGCTACTAAACTTCGGTGGCCGGCCTTGGATTTGTTCTTGCTTTCCTTCGTGAAATCTGTACCCCTCAGAAGTGGACGCTCAAC